CCCCTCCCTGCCTGATTTGCCTTAACAGGGCCATGGCAGGATAGCGTCTGGCCATGTTCCCACCACTGGAGCAGCAAGGAGAGGGGAGGAGGGGGTTTATTTCCTCTTCCCTTCCCTGTCTCACTGGCAGGGACTACAGCCGTCCCGGCATGGCCCTGTTAAAGCTAAGGGAGGCAGGGAGGAGGTGAATTCCGCCCTCCCCGCCCACCACTGGGGAACGCAGCTGGGTGGATCAACCTCCCTCCCCCCACCTGCTTGCTGCAGGGTGAGGAGGGAGGCTCTGTGCAGTGCTGGAGGAGGACTCATCCCCCTCCTCCTCCCCATCTCCTGCAGGGTGAGGAGTGGGGCTCTGTGCAGCACTGCCCAGCCTGGGCACAGGGGGAAGCTGTCACTGAGCTGCAGCCACTGAGGAGGGCCCCACCCCCACAGCCCCGGTGGAGGCAGCCACATGTGCTCAGGCTAGGCCATAGCGGCGGGGCCCTCCCCAGCAGCTGCAGCTCAGACAGGGAAGTTGAGCCCCGTCAATGAGCGCAGCCTGGCCTGGCTCACATGGGCAGTGGCTGGCCAGGCAGTGGTCTACTTGGGCCAGCTCAGAGGCACCAGCAGGCCTGAAGCCCAGAAACCATCCACCGTGGAGGCTGGTTACAGACACATAAGCCTCCACGGTGCCGCCAAGCTGGCCTGGGTAGCCTGCTGCCTAACCAGCTGCCTTCCATGCAAGCTGGGCCCAGCTGTGGTCATTGACAGGGCTCAGCTTCCCTGTCTGAGCTGCAGTGGCGGGAGAGAGGGAGAAGGAGGAGGGGAAAGAGTATCCCCCTGGGACTGGGCAGTGTGGCACAGAGCTGGGAGGAGGAGAAAGAGGTAGAAGAGTCCCCCTCTGGGGCTGGGCAGTGCAGCATGGAGCCCCCTCCCAACTCTGTGGCAGTTTTGGAGGAGAAGGAGGGAGAAGAGTCCCCCTCCAGCACTGCACAGAGCCCCACTCCCCACCCCACAGTGGCAGGGGAGAGGGCGGAGGAGGGGGAAGGGTCATTCTCTGGGGCCAGCCAGTGGAGCTGTGCGCCCAGATTTCTCCCAGCTGTTAGGGAGATGCTACAGCAGGCAGGGCTCTCCCTCTCTTCCTCCTCCCCCACCACAAGGGTCTGGCCATGCCCCTGTCTGTCCAGGCTCCCTCTTACCCCACCCTCTGAACCCTACAGGCCACAGTAGGGGTTTAAACCCCTCCTCAGTTATAGTCAGGCCTGCAGGGGCTTAGCCATACCCCCCACTCAGCTCAGCTTCCATGTGGAAGGGAAGGGAGGGCTGCTCTAGCACCCCCAGGGCTTGTGGTGTAAGTCACTGCAGCCATATGCCTGCATTTCAGGAATGAAATGTGGATGTCTGTTCACTTGCAAACTTGTTTAATCTCTGCAGGTTGGAGAAACCTGCAAAAATTAAATCAAACCAGGCTCGGGCTTTTTGAAAAGGGTCACAGGGACCTACTTGTGGCTGCTGAAACCTCTGTCTGCAGTGGTGTGTGCATGCAGCAGGGCCCAAACAAAGGGAGTCCATAGTGCAGTGGTTCTCAACCTTTGTAGGCTCCAGGCAGCCCCCCATAACTCCTGGGAACTGAGCAGCACTCTAATTCAAGAACTACTTATTTATTGTAGCACTTAACTCTTGGCAGGAATGTGAAGGAGTGGAACAAGCTCTTAGCTCCTTAAAGAGCAAAGGGGCTGGGGCCAGCAATTAGTTCAAGCAGAGGGCCACTTACTGAGTTTTGGCAAGCCATCGAGGGCTGCATGACAGGTAGCCAGGGGCAGATAAATATTAATTTTCTAAATTTTTCAGGGGCCCCGCAGGCCGGATAGAATGGCCTGGTGGGCTGCATCCGGTCCAGGGGCCACATTTTGTGCACCCCTGGGCTGAGGTAATCATAAGCTCATCTCCTTGCACTGGAACTAGACATAGACCAGTCTATCCTTAGCTCCTTACACAGAGGGAAGCGGGGAAAAGTGAGCACTTAGGTCTTCACAGGAGGGGCTGGAAGGGACCAGTGTGACCTTTTCAAATGCAGACCACATTTACCTCTTTACAAAGGGCTTAGTTAGGAAAAGGCAAGTACTTATTTCCCCCCATGCCGTGGCATCCTCAAAAGGAGCTTGCAGCGCCCAACCATCCCTGTTGAGAATCACTGTCCTGCTGGCACTCCCTGGGCTTCCTCCCCACAAGAGGGAGCTCCCCACCCCTGCTCCATAGAGTGAAGTACTATGTTAGCCTGTGTTGGGGTTATGATGACGACCTATCCCTAATTAGGTGGGAGAGTCCCAAAATTTAAAGATGAAGTCCCAGTCATCTCTAGGACAGCATTTGTCCCCGAATTTCCAGTATCATGCAGTGAATCTGGGTTTTCCTTTTGCCACAGAAAAACATGGGAAATGGTGGACTTCCCTTTGCAGGCTGGAAGAGTTCCAGCCTGCAAGGGGCTGTTTGGGGCTGGGAAGAGCAGGACTTAGAGGGTGCTATGTGCATGTGCACACACATGCACGTAACCAGTAACATAGCCCCAGACAGCAGTGGAGAGCAGTTCCCGCAGCTGTCTGCAGATAAGTCAGGGTGAGGGGGCAGATTGAGGCCCCCATGGAGTTGGTCAGGGTTGGCAGCTGGGGCTAGGTGTGCTGCCCAGCCAGGGTGGTGCATGGTGCATGGGACCCAGGGCAGGAATGTGTGGCCACTGGGCCCGGCCAGGGACTGGGATGGAGCCATGGGTGGCTCGTCCAGGGGTTGGGGGGAGGCGCAGTTCCCTACGGTTGCACACACTCCTGGGTAGGAGGGCATGCCCTTCTCCCCAATTTGTGTATAGGGTGGGAAGGTTGCAGGCTTGGGGCTCCCCACCCTGCTGCCCTTCCACCCAGGAGCACTGTGCTGGCCATGCCGCCATAGTGAAGCTCCCCCTGCGCACATGCCAGTGATGATAGCAGCAGCAGTGATGCAGAGTTGTGCCCTCCACTGCTGCTGGGTGGCCGGAGGCACCATGCCACCATGGTGGCATGGCTGGCGCAGGGTTCCTGGGAGAGGCCAGCAGGATGTGGAGCCCTGAGCCTGCAGTGGGAAGCCTGCATCTGCCCTTGTCCCCCAGAGGCTCTGTTCAGCTTTGCTCCAGCTGTGCCGCAGGTGGAGGGTGAGGGACAGGAGGACATGTGTCCTGCTTTCCAATTTGGAAAAGGTGGTCACCCTAGCTGGGGTGAAGGTGCAGGCCCACAGATCCACCCTGCCCCTCTGGGGGAACACAGTACAGCACTCAGCACTGCTAGATTCTCCTAGCCTTTGCATGCAGCATTAGAATTGTTGTTATTTATAATATGCATTACAGTGGTGTCCCAAAGGCCTGGTTAGAGATTGTGGACCCCACCCTGCCAGATGCTGAATGAAAGCCAGGCCACCTCTGCCCTGAAAGAGGGTAAGGCTGCCACAAAATCTAGGGTGACAGTGACTTGGGCAGAGGGTTTTAGAGCACTACCAGAAATAAGACTGGCATCATTTCTGATGACTCCTACAAAGAAAAAAAGATGGCTGGTATTAGCTCCCTAGGAATTACTCTCACAATCCACTGCATTATGGGGAAATCCCTTAAGAAATGGTAACACTCTAAGTATAGGTATTGTTATAGTTATTGTTGTTACTATTATTACTGTAACATATAGGAGCTTACATCCAGGTCTAGGGATCCTCTGTGCTTGGTCCTATACAAACCCAGCACATAAAGCCCCTTACTGAGTATGGTGTGACCCAGCCAGCTCCACCAACCATTCTCTACCCTTGTAATTATGATGTTCAGTCCCTAGTACATTTCTGGACATGACTTAAGGGAGCCTTTTCTACCAAGACCACCCACTGCTTAGAAGAGTTCAACATTGCCCTGGTTGAAGTCAAAGGAAGCTTTATCACTGACTTGAATGGGATTGGGCCTGACATCAATTAATTAGTACTTAATTACTATCAATTACTCAACATTTCTGGGAATTACTTGTAAATGGACACTCTTTGATCACTAATCCCAGTTACTAATGTTCTCTAATTGGAAGTGATTATATTTTCTTTGGGTGTGATGCTGAGCTCTCTCCTGCACCAGCAGCTGTGGGACAGACCAGTCCCTTGAAGGGGAAGGAAAGCTTTTCTCCTAGTAATGGGGTCTGCTCTAATCTCTTACCTCTTGTCTGAGCATTACCTGCTCCAACCTTCCTCCCCGTAAGGCACAGGGTGAGGGAGGACCTGTACACTGGACATGTGCCTAAGGAGCAGGTTCTTGTGGCTCATAGCCAGTATGTCTAGGGCCTACTCTCCTCTCTGCCACTGATTCACCACATGACCTTGGGAGTCACTTCTCTACCGCAAGAGTTCACAACCTGAACTCACAGGAGCATGGAAGGGAGTTGGTGGCACAGCATGGGAGGGACTCATGCAGCCTCACACAGAGGGCTAAGAGCAAAGCCCAGGGTTGACCCCTCTGGTGCCTTGTGCTCCAGCTGCACACTCTGCCTCTGCCTGAGAACAAAGCATCCCATCCCCAGGGAGGTGGCGAGGTTTACACAATATTTGCAGAAAGCTTTGAAGATGTAATGCCCTAAATGTGATTAGGAAAGCAGTGGGAGAGAAGAGCGTCACAGTATATCAACCGTGTCTAGCTCCACAAGATGAGCTGGGCAAAGTGTGCCACCACTGCTCCACCTGGCATCCTCAGGAGAAGATACTGAAGCCCAATCCCTGTTCTCCTTGCTCCTGAGAGTGCCTCTGCTGACAGCCACAGGACAGTAGTCTGGGTGCCTGAATGAATGATGCAAGGGGGGAGGTCCTGAATTCTACAGCTCCCCAAGGAGCCATGGTCCTGCTAGACGCACCAGGCCTTGGTTCTGTGGAGGGGAGCGCTGAGTGCCTGCAGGCCAGGGCATGGCACATTTTGTGCTCTGGGGGGCTGCACATTCTTCTGTTAGGATTGTTTTGGGCAGGTGTGGGAGTGGAGGGCCCATGGGCCTGGGGCTGCACAGGGCAGATCCTTCAAAAGTCTCACTTGGTAGGGGGAGTGGTCAGTGAGGTGCACAGATTACAAGACAAAGGGCATCCTGGGAAACTCGTCCCCATCCCTATACAGCTGGCCTGCTTTTGCCACTGAAATAAGAAGCAAGGGAAAAGGGAAGCTCTTGGAGATCCCTACACATCTTTATTTGCTGTCACTTAAAACTGTTGTGTATTTGTTTTGGGAGAAAAGATAAGGAGGTCTGGTGCAAACTGACATAGCCCATTCATCCCTGAGATTCCATCTGGCGGCCCGTCACACCTCGGTCTGTGCTGCCGATGCTCACAGGGCTGCACTGATGCTGCACTGAGCACTCCCCCCACAAGAGAGCTGGGGGCGCGGAAGGGAGATGAGGGGGAGCCACAGCAAGATGTATGGGCACAACAGCCTTCACTGGAGTTAGCACGGCATTTGATAGAGGCCGGGTTACAATGCTGTCAAGGTCGTCCCTGAACAGATCGAGACTGCCATAGACACTCTTTGCTTAGGATTAGTTTAACAGTGGAGCAACAGGCTGGGTGCTAAAGGCAAATGCCTCACTCCAGACCGGGTGGTACAAAGGAAGCAGCCTACACTTGATATATCAGAGGGAAGTGAGGGTGTCTTTTGTCACAGAGATTCTGGCTTACTTCAGACTATGTAACCACCCATGAGGCAGTACTTGAGATGTGGGCTGCTTTAATTTATACCAAGGAGCAGCTTCGACCTTTGACACAGAGCAGAACATGGATGAGAGAGGAGTGGCCTGCAACCACCTTCACCGCTCTGCCCCTGGGGTGCTGTGACCCCTGGAGATGGACCAACCTCCTTGAAACTTGACAGAGCTCAGATCTGTAGCCCCAGCCCTTCACACCATGAAACAGAGTTACTCAAAGCTCTAATACCCAAGGAGCTTTGTTTATGGCTGGAACAGGCAACCTGGCCTGCTGACCTCAGCCAGTGACTAGGAGCAGATGGTAACAGAACTTGTCAGCTGTACTGGGCGATGGCTGTGGAGTGCCTCTGACATCAGTTCTAAAACCTTAGGATCGATTCAGATTTTTATGGGCAGACAATGCAGAGATTGTAAGCAGGGAGCAATGAGTCTGGAAAGCTGAGTGCCTACGGGGGCAGGGGGCAGTCAGGCCTAGTGCAGACAGGCACTCATGTAATGATAGAGGTGAAGGAAACCTGTTGGACTTCTTTGAGTAGCCTGCTTGTATGGTAAGTGTTGGGGCCACTCTGGGCCCTTGCACCTGTCAATGCCCCCACCTCTCTCCTCAGCTCTGAGCTCTGATCCTTTATGCCAAGTTCCAAGCTCAGGAGCTGTGCAGTGTATAGAGCTGAACTAAGATACTGCTCTTAATAGATTGTGGCAGCGCATTTATCTCTCGGTGCTGCACTCAGATTAATACTTAGAGCCCTGCAGGAAAAGGCTTTATTTAATAGGGCCATTTATCAAGGAAGGGAAAAAAGAGATGCTGGCTACTAACAGTGCTGCTGGGCAGCCCAAATAGCTCTCTGTAGGAGCTGCATGCTGTGTCCTTTCTCCAGAGAAAGAAATGGGGAGCCAAGGAGGTTGTTAAACTAGAATTTAGGACCCTGCACTCCCATCAGATGACCATGCTTGAAGTATATTGTACTGCAGTGGAGCCTGAAGAACACAAGAGATGAGGGGTCCATTGCATTATATCCACTATATTATAGCCTCTGTCCACATGCAGATCCCAAGCACTTACATTCTAAACAGACCAGACAGACAAAGGATGGGAGGCACACAGAGGAGAAATGACTTGTCCAGGGCCCCCCTGCTGCATAGTGGCAACTCTAGGACAAGGACCCAGCTCTCCTGCTCTTCACTGGAGTGCTCTACCCACTGGATGATGTTGCCTCTCACAGTTCATAATTAATATGGAATTAACTCCCCAGTCTGATCTAACACACCTTTCCATCCAATTCCAGGAGGGCTCTCCCTGAAAATATCCAACCCCATGCAGCGGCATCATTTGGAAGGCACAGTGAAGAATTTACTCTTCAACACTGCTGAAACGTAACCCTGAGCTGTAGTGGCCTCCTGCTCTGGGGGGAAGAAAGGACCTCTGTTTCTTTAGCCTCAGTTCCTTTACACTTCTCTTTCCTGCCATGCTATTCCCAGCCATGGCGGCAGCTCCTATACAAAAGGCACTGGTGACCACTGGCATTTTGACCACAGGGCTTGTATACCCGCTCTGAGCAAGGCTAGGCACAGATGCTGACAGCTGTCTCAAGCCCTAACCATCAAGCCAAACTGGGACGAAGGGCTAACATGAACATAGCCAAAAGTTCACTAAAATGAAGTCTTCACTGGAGAGTTAAATTGGGCTTTCCCCTGGGCATTGCCACTAACCCCATTTCTAACCACAGAAAAGCCCTCTCAGCCAAGTTGAGTGGTATGTTCTGCCTGGCCTAGATGGGGTGTGGGTTATAGCCAGATGCTGCTTTCACTGGAGGTGATAACCTGCTCACTTTGCAGTGAGAACATGAACTCAGTCACTCGAAGCCTGACAATCACCCCATGCTCCCATAATTTCAGTCCTCCCACACTCAAAGGGCAGGTAAACCTCTCTCACAATTCCCTGGAAAAAAACAAACAGCAGTTCAAAGAACCATTGGATGTGTCCCCAGAAGACATGGC